GGCCGAGGCACCACTGACCACTTTGCAGTCGCTCGAGCAAGCCGATGCTGGCATGCCTGGTCACTGCCAGAATCAGTGCCCTCGTATCCGACCGCCTGTAAAGCATAAAAGTTAATTACTCCCCGTTCCCCTGGTGAGCTGCAATTAGCGCAGTGTCACAGTATACCATAAGGCCCTTATCGAGGTTGACGTGAGGATGGAGCTGTGTTTGATTCACGGAATCTGTGATAATTAGAATAGTGGCGGGTATCGTAACTACCGAATGTACGCATAGTATAGAAGTCCGAATATGGACGAATGAATATCGTATATTCTCGTAGAATCACGGATGAATACACAGGATCGAGGCTTTTGCCCAGGTTTCCCGGATGGGTTTTGTTCCTGTCGTTCAGCGGCTGCCGTTCACCTGAAAAGCAGAGGTAAAAAAGAGTGCAGCACTGCTCTTTAAGTTCTCAGCTCATCAGTTCGAGGACGTGCATAAAGAAGTGTCTTATAGTGCTTTGCACTGGGCTCTAGAAGGAGTGAGAACAATCGTCTGAGGAAGGTCATTCCACGCAGATACCACCCGAAATGCGAAAAATTGCCTGATGAAAGTGTGCGCTCTTAGCTTTAAAATCTCCTTACCATGTTCCCCCCGTGTGTTTGCTGGGTCAACGGTGAAAAGCTTGTTGGCCAATCAGAGCATATGTAAAAATTAGGTCCCCCCGTGAGGTGACGATACTCCAGGGGAAAGAGGTCAAGCACCGCGAGACGCGTTTCTTAATCCACCGATTTAAGGCCAGCAGCCATTTTCGTAGCGGCTCAGTGGACACGCTGGATGAGGGTGACGTCCCTCGCGCCTCGCGAGTGGACAGCTTGGTTGGCATATTCAAGGAGCGGTCTGACGTAGGCCCCATGGGGTATTTGGAAGCCCATGCGAGCAATAGGGGAGGTGTGCCGAATCATCCGTAGAACGGCGAATGCCTTTTAGGCCGATTTCTCGTGAAGCAGTGAGAAGGAAACGTTTGAGGAGAACCAGATACCTAAGTACTTTTTGGCATCCATCCTCGTGATGTCATCTGGTCCTTTCTTGCCATGCACGACAAAGGCATCCGAAGGAACGTGCCGGTCCAAAGACCACCGCTTTGCAGCGTCCACATATATTTAGAAGGCACTGGCATTAGAACCCCAGGATTTCGGGTCGTCCGAAAAAAGTAAACATGGACTTGCAAGAACATCTGGAAGGTCGTTGACGTATATCAGGAACGGCACTTGTTTCAAAACGGAGCCTTGAGGAACTCCAATGAAGACCGGCACCGGATAAAATCAGGCTGGGCTTATTCTCACTCAAGATGGTCTGCCTGATAGGAACGCTTTGATCCAATGTAGGCTTTTCTCTTAAATCCGGTAAGACTCAAGTTTGTGGAGCAGCGGGACGTGGAGGAACCGATTAGATGCATTTGAGAAGTCGATATAAGCCCTTAGTCCTTGGCCCGGGTTAGGCTGTCCATAAGTACGAGAATGTTCCTCAATCAAGAACGGTTTGGGATAGATCCGTGTCAACCTGGGGGTATCAAGCTCTTGGAAGTGAGGTGGTCTATGATAGCTCACTTCAAAATACGTTCTGTTAACTCGCACTGCACGCTAGTGTGGCTTATAGGCCTGTAGCTGCCACGCGATAGTCGGTTACCGGTTTTGTAGACTGGCGCGACAATCGATTCCTTCCAGGCGGGTGGAAGGAGACGTTCGTCAAGCGGCTGACGAAACACCAGGTTGAAATGATTTACCACTGCAATCGGCGTTTCCTTCAGGATCCTTGGATGGACCTCGTCGGGCTCCAATGCGCAGAATGAAACAGTTGATGAGTATCCTCCACCATAAATACCAAGTGGGTTGGAGGCCTTAACAAGGTTGGATGTGACGAGGACGCCAGTGCTGAATATAGACCCGCATTTTGTTCCCTGTAGACTTCAGATACCACTCTTAGGTCACTCGTAGGTTCTTCGTTCTTATCCCTCAGGAAGTACGCAGATGGCTTGTTTCTGCGACGATGTTGCATTTGGTTAAACAACACACTTCGGTTTTTCCGAACGAGGTTCAAATTCGTGGCTTGTTTTCGTATGTTCTATTGGTGGATTTCTGATTTACAGCGGTCCCGCATTTTACGAAATGCCAGCTCATCTTCTGTGTCTCCTGCAGTCAACTTTTTGAATAACGTTGGGACCTTTTTTTCTAGAAGTCGCCGAATTCCTTTTCGCAGCCTGCGGCTCATCCGACTGCGTGCTGGTTTTTTTGCGACAAACATGGCGTCAACCTCGTGAACTTTCTGGACAATGGTCTTATATGAGTCTTCTACTGAAGCTACTTCCAGTTTAACTTGTTCAAGAAAGACTCGTGTTCTTGAAGTTTCGAATCCATGTTTGAGGTTCGGGGTTTCTAACCCAACAGTAGATAAAAGGTCATCACACAGTGTTTGCTATGTCCCAGTGGAGCGTTAATTATCACCTGATCAACGAAGTATCTTTCGTTGGTGATGACCAAATCCTGGAGGGACGGTAGTTGGTCCACACGGTATCTGATAGGCGCAGTGACATGTGGAGCCAAAACGTTCAGTTGAACGGCTTCGATCAGCGCCACTGATAAATTAGAAGGAGTATTACTGAGACGATAATGGAACAAAGCTAAATGCAAACCGTGCACGCTAGCCGTGAGAACAGTGAGTGGATACCGACTGAAAACTGACGGATTGTCAATGCGCGTGGGCGACAGGTCCGCGCAGCACAGGTTCCTCATCACCCCAGATATAGAGCGGGGAATCTTGGAAGCATATTTTCTCAAGAGTGCGAAAAATACTTTTAGCCTAAAAGTGGGCAAAAACTGGTGACAAAATATGGCGCAGTCAAGTAGGAAGATTACCCAAGCACTGCAGTGAGTAAGTTGAATGTTCGAAGGCTTCCGTCCCGTAACGTGCAGTCAGTGCAGTCCGCGGTCGAGGAATACTCCGAAATATTCACAGGCGATGAAGATCCGTTTGGCTTCTGCCCATAGATTGCTCAAGAAATTCCCTTCTCATCCGAATGCTTTCGATCTTGTGGCCCCCGTTCGCTACACCTCCAACTACTGGAAGAGGTCCATGAATAATTACAAGATCTTTTGAAGCCAGCGATGCTTGTTAGTGGGACAAACGGAAAATACCGGCTTTGCGTGAATCACCGTCGTTTGACTAAACTGATCGCAAATCGGTTTGTAGCTGCCCCTTCGATTGCGGAGATTTTTGCTTCCCTCCAGCATTCTCGATATGTCACCCAATATCAATTTGGACGGATGCAGTTTGGCTTGTCTAGGGCATCATTCACATTCCGGCGCTTGATTCTTGGTGGAATGAAGGACAACAGAATATCAATTTGGACGGATGCAGTTTGGCTTGTCTAGGGCATCATTCACATTCCGGCGCTTGATTCTTCGTGTAATGAAGGGACAACAGAATTCTGCTATGTACGCAGACGACATCGTTTTGCACAGCAACTGGGAACTAGAGCACGCAGTTCACCTGAAGGCTGTGTGGAAGCGTATCCGGGAGGCTGGACACTGATCGCTCGGGGTTCGGTTGCACTGCTCGGGCATAAAGCGAGTCATGGAGAAGTTAGCCCACTACCGAAAAAACTGGAAAATGTCAAGAAATGCGTTGTTTCTAATTCAAAGCAATCCCTGCAACAGTCCCTCTAGCAAAGAGCATAAAAAGCTGGTTTGTGAAGGATTTCAACACGATTGCTTCTCCAATGTACGAATGTCTGCGGCGAAATCGGAAATTCGGATGGACAAGGGAAGCATATTAGGCCTTCGGACGTGTCAAATCACAGATACTGGATCAGCAACTGACCCTCAAACTGCCCAGGGTCGGAGAGACGTTCATCGTAGTAGCGGACGCTACTGACCCGTATTGGCACTGTCCTAAAGCAGAGGAACGGTTTCATCAAATATTCTGGTCGTGTCTTGACTAAAGCTGAGCAGAAGCATTCAACAATTGAGAGTCAATGGTTGTTGTTCGTCTGGACCCTGGATAAGTGGAGGCCATACCTCCTCGGAAATCCTGGCAGAAAGCCCGCGCACTAAGCACTATGGTTGCAAGCGTACGACTTCACAATTCGGCATGTGTCAGGAAAAGAGCACTACCTAGCTGATTGGCCGTCAAGACCGAAGGCTGAAGACGAGGCCCCCAGGATTATGATTTGTGCCAGTAGCCTCGTCGTCAAACTGGATCCCAGGAAGTCGGTGCAACTCCAACGGCAGGATCTTGTGTTGCTGAAGGTTTCATCCGCCTTGTTGGATGGAAGGAGAATTGGAAACGGAGAGGGAGACAAGGAATTCAGAACGCATTAGAGTTACTTCGATGGGCTTAATCTGAGTGAACATGACATAATTTCCCGAAACACCACCGACCTTGATGTTGTGCTTCCCGCGATAGCTCACGTCTTGAGACGAAAGCTTATCATTGATGGCACACACATGGGGCACCAAGACGTACGACTTACTTCGGCAGAGGGTCTAATGGCACGGGATGAGAAGTGTGGTGAGGGGTTATGTGGTGTACTGTAAGCGGTGCCAACTAATGAAAGGGGATTCGACAGGGGCAACCCATCCCATGAAACAAACTCCTGTCTCAGCAGTCGGAGAGTTATTGTCCGTTGACGTCATGGGCCCCTTTCCGATGACAAACAGCGCAGTGGGTCAAGGCGCCAGCCAAATCAAGAGACAGGGACAAACATTGGAGTGGTAATGCATCACATCGTGGTCAACCGTGGAGTGCCAAAATGATCCTAAATTATCAGGGGCCTTATTGAAGCCCTTCTTCGAGCTTTTGGATGTAGCATGATACATCTAAAGAGCTGCCGAATAAACCAGCCGCTGAGACCGACCTAATGGATGTAAGTGAAAATCACCCACAAGCAAAAGACCTTTAAATGGAAAAGCTATGTAAAAGCGGATACTACTGATGAGGCGTGTTAGTGGTATGTTATTTTCTCGTAACTCCGCTGCGTTTCTCTTCGAAGGTCCAACATTACCCACGCGTTTTTGTCCCTCAGTTTTCAGGCCCGAAGTTTGCCATCTGAATTGACAGATTTCCCCTCGTATTAATTCCGTCAATTCTGCCTTGTCTCATGGTTCCTCTCCTTGATTCGCAAGATTCACGTCAACAGCTCACATGTATTTAGATAAAGTGTAGAATACTTCGACGTATTCGAGAAAGCTCACCGAGTGACGCGCGAAATCACAAGCCAGAAAATGGTGGATTCTTGAGATTTATCAAAAGATGCGGAACTACATGTATAAAATACGCAATAAAAGGGGTATAAACCTCAAATTATGGGGTTTCCGTCTAAACTGTTCCACGAAGTAGTGCAAGCCCAAAGAAAGCCCGGAAGAGATGGCAAATCGATCTTAGTTTGCGACACCCGCCTGGGCACAACACGTCGTCACGTAAAATGGTCAAAAAGCGCGCGTGAAGGACGGTCGACCAAATTGGTTCGACAAGTCAAGGGTTAGAATTTCACGAGGGATT